CCCTTTAGATCTCTGGGGCCAGAGGCAGGGTGCCCCAAGGAGACCCCCTGGCTACCCTGTCCCTTTCTGTGTACCAAAAGCCAGCTGACTTAACACACGACACCCAGACATAAAGCAAAAGACAGTTTTTTAGGAAATGTTTGTTTTGTTTTGTTTTTGACCTTTTCTTTTTTCTGTCTTTTTGAGACAGGGTCTCTCTATGCAGTTCAGGCTGGCCTTGAGCTCACTTTGTAACCCAGACTGGTCTCGAACTCACAATGATCCTCCTGCCTCAGCCTCCAGAGTGCTGGGATCACAAGTGTGCAGGACATGTTTTTAATAAAAGATAGTCACAGAGAAATTTTTAAAGCCCCACCCCTGGTGAGCTCCCTGAGGTGCTTTCCCCACCCCCCCAATCCCCATCTCTAGGGAGTCCTGGGGAATCCCAGGAGGTTCCCGCTCTGTGCAGGGTACACTGATTCCTTGTGGCTAGGACATGGCGTTTCTTCTGGTGTCCTGTCCTGGCAGCATCCCCCGACCCCTTGGGCTGCTCATGGACACAGTCTGTGACTCAGAGAGGACAGGAAGTGTGTGGCCCCTTCTGGCCTCTTCCCGCAGCTCCTCGAGTGTCACCTCTGTCTCTGACCCCTGCCCCTCCCCCTGGGCACTGAGGAAGCGCTTCTATCATGTTGCAAGTTTAGCTCTGAGAACCATGGATGAATTCAGTTCCAGGAAAAGAAGACTCATTCATTCATCGAACAAAAACCCAGAATAGAGATGTCGACTATAGCATGCCTGAGTCCGAGAACAGTTCACTAAGAAAAGCAACCGAGGTGAAGTAGCCCGCTGCAGGGTTCAACCCCAGGGTCGGTCTGCCCAGGATCCTCAGGAAGATGGGGAGTCCACTTGAGGTGGCGTAGGGTGTGAGGAAGCTCGGGCAGGATGGCCACCTGCAGGGTGGCAAGGATTTGCTCTGGAGTCTGATGACAGTAATGGTCCGATAGCTCTGTGCATGTCCTGAGACCACGGAATCATATACTACACATGCTGGGAGGCTGAGGCAGGAGGATCCCAAGCTTGAGCCCTGCTTGGTCAATTCTGTCTCAAACTAAAAAATAAAAAGGGTGAGACTGTAGCTCAGCACGAGGCCCCGAGTTCAGCCTCCAGCATGGTGGAGTGATATGTGTGACGTGTGAACTTGGTCTGTTCACTTCATACGCACACAACAATCACACTGTATTAAAAAAAACCCACATCTTCTTTATCCATGCACCAGTTAAGGGGCATCTGGGCCGTTTCCAGAATCTGGCTGCTAGAAACGTAGGTTTACAGACACCACTGTGGTATGCTGCTGTTAATTCTTTTGGGAATATATTCAGGAGGGGAACAGCTGGGTCCAGCGGGACCTCTCGTTCTGGTTTTCTGATTTCCACAGTGGCTGCATCAGTCTGCACTCCCGCCAGCAGTGGAGAAGGGCTCCTTTTTCCCATGATCCCTCCAGCGTTTGTTATTGGTTGATTTCTTGACGGTAGACATTCTCTTTCGGGGATGAGATGGAATCTCAGTGTTGTTTTAATTTGCATCTCTCAAATGACCACTGATGCTGAACATTTTTTCGCATATTTATTTGCTGTTGGTACTTTCTTTTTTAACCTGAGATGCGTGTTTTTCAAGACAGGGTCTCACCAGGATGGCCTCAAACTCACGGTGATCCTCCTGCCTCTGCCTCCTGAGTGCTGGGATTACAGACCGTGCCACTTGGGAGTTCAGAGAGGGACTATGCCTCAGAACTGCACTCCTGCCTTCCCAGGTGGAGAACCTAGTTTTGGGGTCCACCGGGGGCAGGTGGGTCCCACTGACCTTTGTGGCACCCCAGGGGCTGCAGGCCTCCTGCCTGTGGGCTGTGAGTGTTCTCTCGCCCTGCCTGCCAGGCCAGCGGGGCTGCAGCAGCCTTTCTTCTGGAAGTACCGGAGGACACCCAGGAGGGAGGACACCAGCCTCACCCCCTGTGGGTTCTGCACTCAGCGGCCTACCGCTGGTGCACCATGCAATCCCAGCTTTTGGGAGGCTGGAACGGGAGGATCCACCCTCTCTTAAAATCTAACGAACAAGTAAATGCTACAGTATTTTCGCTCCATCCATCCAGATCTCACTGTGTTCTCCATCACTACCAGCCTGACCACAGCATCGGTGCTGTGAAAGCTGTGTTCTGGTGTCTTGGCCTTCTCATCTGAAAAAGGACAATTCAAAGCTAGAGGCAAAGCTGGAAAAACGAGTTTCTCGGGCTCTGGGGGGGGGTAGGGTGGGGGAGGGACTCAGAGGCTGGAGATTCTGCAGATACGGAGGGCTGTGCAGAGGGCACGGCAGCCAGAGAACACAGCGGGCGCCCTCAAGCCTGTGACCCAGTCCCGGATTTGGTGGGAAGACTGCCCTGATCCACAGAGAGGCTGGGCGTGGGGTGCTTGACTGTAACCCCAGGACTCTGGGAGGCTGAGGCAGGAGGAGAGCAAGTATGAGCCCAAGCCAGACAATTGTGCACCATAAAATTAAAGAAAGATAAAGAGGAGAAGGAGAAGGAGAAGAAAAGGATGTGAAGCCATAATCTCTACACTTTACTTTTCTGCCTCGAATGCTGTTGTCTCAGAGGAAGATGGTGATGCTCTGAGCTACAGCAGCCATTTTGCAGCCCTGAGGGAAGTACTGCGAAGGGCAGACACAGAAGCCAGGGTCCGATGATGCAGATCTGCTGAACCTGTCACAGCACCAAGCACCCCAGGTTTTGCGTCATGAGAGACAACAACCCATCCTTCACCAGTGATTTGGGAGGTGCAGTGGAAACAGCCCAAGCCGGGTGTGTGGTGCACCCCAGTAATCCCAGGACTGGGGTGGCTGAGGCAGGAGGATCACTAGCCAAGCCAGGCCACATGGTGAGTTCAAGGTCAGTCTGACCCAGAGAGTAAGATCTCAAACCAAATCAGCCCAGACTAGATCAGACCACACCAAAGAAACACGGCCCAAAAAACAGCTTCTCTGCAGAAGGGCGGATGTCAGATCCAAGCTGTCCTGCACCAGCCTGGTCCAGCAGGCCTCCCGACAGAATGGCTGTGGCCTCAGTCCTTAGTGACATTTTTGGCCAAGGCAGCCTGGCGACCCCTGGGCTGCTGATTCCTTGCCCTCTCCACTCCTGCCCCCCACGGCCAGCGGCCTAGTGACCTTCCAGAATGTTCCCTGTTCCAAGTTCATGAAGCCGTGTGCCATGTATGCATGTGTGCATGAATGTGCGTGTACATGTGTGCATGCGTATGTGTGTGTGAATGTGCGTGTGCATGTGTGGGGCCAAGGTTCTGCCCCCTGCGCTGCTGCCCCACAGGACGCTGGGAGCTCAGGGCTGTGGGGACGCCCGCCCGATGTCCCAGTAGCACGACTTCCTTTCACATCTGGCCTGGATCTGAGGGCGACGCCTCCAGGCCAGGATGTAGCGCAGAGGTGGAGCCACCTTAGCACTGGAGGCGCTGAGTGGGAGCCCTGAGCCAGCCCCAGGCACAGACACGCTTGCTGTCCCCACCGTGAATGCTGCGCCCACTGGGCAGCAGCACGAGTCGCCCGCCCCCTCCCCTGGCAGCTGCCATCTATTTTCTGCCTCTGAGAATCTGAGGACTCTGGGGAGCTCCTGGCAGAAGGCTCTGAGAACACCTGTCCTTTGGGAATGGTTTATTTCAGGGGCCCCATATTTTCATGCACATGGCAGCACGCGACAGTTTAGCTTCCAGTGTGGAGTGCTCTTCCGTCTCGAGTCCAAACCCTGTTTTGTTACAGCAATCCTGAGTAATGCGATGGGGCGTGGTGATGCATGCCTGTGATCCGAGTACTCAGAAGGCTGAGGCAGGAGGATGCAAATTCAAGGCCATCCTGAACTACACAGTGAGACTGTCTCAAAACAACATAAAGGACCCTGAAGGGAATACCTGCCTGCAGGCATGCGTTCAGGTCCCTGGATCCCATTCTTTTGTGGCCCCAGGCTCTGCCTTGTTCAGAATCAGTAGGGATGTGAAACTCAGGCCTGGGGTCCCCTTTCCGGCTACCCTGTGGGGCCGGGACAGAAGCCCAGGGGTGTCTGCAGGACAGGCTCAGGGCTGGGTGGCTGGTGCGGAGCTGACCAAGAGGTCCAGGGCAGCTTTCCAGGGGCCCCTGAAGGAGGCACAGAGCACGTGGCGAGAGGCAGAGACACAGAGCATGTGGAGAGAGGCAGAGGATGAGCTGTCCCCTCTGCCCCTGCAGAGGGCAGCGGGACAAGGGACCCCTGTGTCCCTGAAAGGGCAGGCTTGCCGCAGCGGCTGAGCAGGGCTGCCTGGCCACAGGGGCAGGGGTTATGCAAAGGGACAGAATGCCTGGACAGTGCTGCTTGGGGCTCAGCCAGGGGTCCCAGGCGGGCGGGGAGGGGGTGACTGGAATGTATGACCAGGACAGATGGCCCCCGGCTCAGCCAACTCCTACGACCAAGACGCACCACTGGGAAATGCTAAGGGGGGTCCCCCCCGCCCCGCACACCATGGGGAGCATCTTGATCCCAGCACCACGTGACTGTGCTATGTGGGCAGCAGGGTGGCTGGGCTGGGCACTACGAGTCCCTCTGTCATCTGCTATGGGTCACCTTCAGCTGGTTATGTGATATTTTTTGGAGCCAAAGTGTCTAGGTCCAGGCACTGAATGCTGACAGCCCAGGGTGGACACAGCCACCAAGGGGCCTGCTGATGGTTTCCTCGGGCTCTGTGCTCAGGGGCCCCTCGAAGCAGGCTCCGGGCACAGACTGGATTTCGATCCAGCCCAGACAAGGCCACTGGGACCACAGGAGGAACAGAAGCGCCCGGGGGGGCTGTGGGCTCTGCTTGTCACCAGTGCTGGAGTCAGGGCCAAAGGTGAGTGGGTCCATGTCTCCACTGCAAGGGACACACAGTGCCTGACAACTTCCCCACATGCCGGGCTAAGAGCCTGGGGACTCCGCCCTGTACCCTAGCACTGACCAGACTGACGGAAGAGGTCATCCACACTGAGATCCCACAGGAGGCCAAAGGCTCTTGTAGACGTGTCTGGAGGCCACGCTAGCAGCTGGGAGGAAAAAAACAAAGTCAGCCCCATGGATCAGTATCAGAAAATCCCATTTGGCCCCAATTGGTAGTGCACACCTGTCATCCCAGCACTTGAGAGGCCGAGGCAGGAGGATCGCTGTGAGTTTTGGAGGGCAGCCTGAACTATATAGTGACACCTGACCTCATGGAAAACAAACCAGATAAAACAATCTTATTGAACCCACGCGGTGGAAGGAGATTGTTTCTCACCACTTTCAGATGAGGAAACTATCTGTGCTCAGAGAGCTCAGGCAGCTCCTGTCCGTCACACAGCTGGTACTGTGAGTGGTAAAGCCAGGTGCGAAGGCCGGGTGATATGCCGCCTGCAAGGGCACATCATGTGGACAGGCAAAGAGACAGTACTGCCTGGAAGTGCAGCCCTGCCTGGGGACACAGGGCCTGGCTTGACCTCAGCTGTGGGCTCCTGTGTGTGGCCTGTTACATCGCACCCTCCTCCTGATACTGGGGCGCTGGGGACACATGCAGCTGGGTGCTGCTGCTGCAGTGAGCCCCAAGCAAGGGGAGACCCTTCCTGGACTCCCCTCTTGGGGGCTGAGCTGGCTCTACATGTAGCCTGCACCCCCATGACTACCTAGGCCTCACTGAGGAGCCCCCAAAGGATCACCTAGGTCCAAGGCACACCCCAACTGCAAGGCTGCCGGGGTCATCTTTTCATTGTTGTTTGAGGCAGGTTTCACTATTTCATGATGGCCTTGAGGTGACCCTCCTGTCTCAACCTCAGCACCTGTGGCCGGCCAGAGTCTTCAGCACTGCAGTGCTGAGCACACTGCGTCTGCCCTCATCTGGGGCTCCCGTGGCCCCTCGTTGAAAGTGTCTAGGACCCGAGCAGGGCTTTGGGGGCCACTGGGGCACAACAGTTTGCAGGACTCACTTCCTAACCCGTGTGGGACAGAACTGTCCAGCAGAGGGGCTAGGGTCTCTGGACCCCTCAGACATCCAGCCCCCTAGGGGAGGATGCTCTCCGCCGCCACCACGTCAGGGTCACACAAGGCCCCTCTGTGGGCGACATCTCTGAGGGGCTCTTTGTGTGCCTGACACCCGTGCACTCTGTCGTTGGCTGTGCAAGGAACGGAGCGAGGCTGCGAGGCCGGGGCAGGGAATAAAGGCCTCACTGTTCCTGCCGTGCCCTGCGCCCCCTCTCCCTGCCCAGGCCTGGGTGGGGGCACTAGCCGAGCCCCAGCCCCAGGAGCTCCTGCCTGCCCCTCCCCCTCCCCGGGCCGGGAGGGCGCTGTGCAGCACCAGCCGCCTGGGCCCAGGTCCTGGCAATGACCCAGAGTGGCCTGATTTATGGCTGGGCCTGGGCACCGAGATTGGGACCTGCCCCTTCCTAGCAGGGCCGGCCTGGGTGGGGCCAGGCCAGGCCCCATCCTCACACCCCATGTTCAGCTCTGGGCAGCGGGTGTCAGCTATGGGGTGGATTCCTAGAAGCCACAGCAGGGTCCAGCACCTCCCTGATCCTGGGGTCCTGGATGCCACTAGGCCGGCAGCACCCACAGGGACATCAGGAGGCTGGAGCCCCAGCCTTTTGCCCTCGGGCCGCACCACTCGCGCCACCTAGTGGCCACAGGGGTCCTTACCTTGAGTAGCCACTGCAGCACTGGCACTGGGCAAGCGTGGGTAGAGTGCAGGTAGAGGTTGCTCAGGAAGCTGCAGCGCAGGAAGGACAGCTGCTGAGATGGTGGGGCGCTGCGGGACAGAGGGGTGCAATGAGGGGGCTCCAGGGCCGGTCTCCACAGAGATCCCACAGGAGACCCCACAGGGTCAGGATGCTGCTGTGGGTGAAGGTGCCTTTGGAGCCCTCAGTGAGGGGCGCTGTCAGAAGGAAAAACCACCTAAGTTGTCACCAGAACCGCTGGCTTTGCTCCAGGGATGCCTGAGAACTCAACTCACAGTGTTTTATTTATAATTATTATTTTATGTTTTGGTTTGTTCTGAAACGGTCTCACTTAGTAATTCAGGTTGGCCTTGAACTCACCACGTGATCCTCCTGCCTCTGCCTCCCGACTTCACAGTGTTTTAAATGCATAACTGGCTGGCCCACTGCCACCTTTCCAAGGGACCGAGGGGAAACCGAGGAACCTCCCCATGGGGACAGGGAGGCCTGAGAGATGACAGAGGGGGAGCCAGTACTCGCCTGGGCTCGGGGGCGGGCAGGGTTACCTGTGAGCCAGGCCAGCTTCCCAGGTCTAGTTACACGGAGCGCTTCTGCCCTGCTTGTGTTTTTCCGACACAAAGAGGACACCGGAGTGCACGGGAGAACATGTTCTGGGGCCGGGCAGGGAAGGAATCCCAAGTGCAGCTCCTGGGCAGCACCTGTCCCCGAGAAGGGTGAGGGGCCCTCGGGCTGCTAGGGCTGCAACCACAACCCGCACAGGCACGGGGATGCCTGTGTGGTCTCTTCCTCTCTCAGCACCCACGGCTGGCTGGTCATCTTGGCCCCCAGGACACAAAGAGGGGGAGACTTATTCTGGGTGGCTGTCAGGGCTCCGGGACTGGTACTTTGGAAGTCAACTTAAAGTGACTGACAGGGAGCGAGGTGGGGTGTCTCACGCCTATAATCCCAGCACTCAGGAGGCTGAGGCAGGGGGACTGCTGAGAGTTCGAGACCAGCCTGGGCTACACAGTGAGCTCAAGGCCAGCACGAACTGTATAGTGAGACCCTGTCTCAAAAATACAAAAAAAGGTGATTGATGGACGCATGATGGCACATGCCAGTAATTCTAGCACTCAGGAGGCTGAAGCAGGAGGACTTCCAGAAGCTTGAGACCAACCTGGGCTACATAGTGAGTTCAAGGTCAGCCTGGGCTACATAGTGGGACCCTGTTTCCACAAAGAAAGAAAGAAAAAAAAAAAAAAAAAAAGGAAGGAAGGGAGGCGGGGGGGAGGGAGGGAGGAAGAAAAGATTGGCTGGACTTCATCATCTCCTCAAACTCCTGGTCAGATGATGAACACAGATTCCAGGAAATGGCACAGTGATCTCATGCTTGTTCTTTTTAGTTATCAGATCAGCAGAACCCCCAGATAGTGTTTGATGTCGCCACACTGGACAGCAACATCCCCAGCCACCCCTCCTTCCGAGACTACTGAGATCCCACCAGCAGGAACACAGAGCCCGAAACCACGCGTCTCCTCCAGGCCACACCGTGGCCTCTTCAGCACTACCAGGCAACTGTTAGTGTGGATGGAGTTTTTTTCTGAGTCCATGAAGTTCAGAGGAGAAAGAGGCTCTGTGTGTGCGGCTGGGAGACAGACAGACGCTCCTGTGTGCACACAGACACATGTGCACACCCCACGCCCCATGTGCCTGGTCACATGCACCCCAGGGACTCTTGGGGACTTCAGGGGCCCCGCGGACTCCAGCACACAGGACCAGCCGCTGTGCCAGGGAAGCGGCCACTCCCTCCTTCTGCTCTGCCAGCTCGCGGCGCAGCTCCTGCCAGGAGAGCGACAGATGGGCTGCGAGCTCACCGCTGAGTTCGGTTTCATGAGTGCGACGAGCGGCAGAGAACCAGGAGACTGCTCTGCCCTGGAGCGAGTGGCTTTCAAGGAACTCTGGGTCCTACGCTGTACGAGAGGCAAAGAGCAGAACGCGAGTGGGCCTGGTGGAGCGCGCCTGTTAGCTCAAGCCTTAGGAAGCTGGGGCACGACTGCTGAGAGACTGAGGCCAGCCTGGGCCACAGAGCAAGACTGTGTCTCAGACAAACATCTTGGGTGACAGAATCAGCTGCTGCCAGGTTTAGCAAAACCCAGCATCGCGTCTCCACCCCAAGAGCCCCGTGCTGGGCTCCAACGGGCACCTCTGCCAATGGCAAGGGCACAGGTTTTCCAGAGAACGTCAGAGGGTCCTGGCAGAGACGCAGGCGGCAGGTGCCATGCGGGCTGGAGACACGAATTCTCTGGCTGTCAGCTCAAGTATCCTGGGTAGGGGGGCTCCGGGTACAGCCGCTAATCCTCAGCTATGCCAGTAATGATGGGCAGGTGTCTGTCCCTTCCTTGAGCCTTCGAGCTGCAGGATGGCAGAGCAACACAGCTCCCACCGACTGTCCTGAAATTCCCAGCCTGCTCCTGCAGGTGCCCAAGGGAAGACCCACTCCCTATCCCATCCTGGTCATAGCTCTGGGGCAAAGTCCTCAGATACCCAGCCCATCCCAAGCGGCCCAGAGGGGTTGGCATGGAGGGCATTATTCACAAGGTGCCAGCTGAGCCAATTTCCCCAGTGAAAGCGAAAATAAAATACCATGGCGAAACACAATGAGCCCCTGGGAGCTTCACTTACCTCTTTTCTCTTTCTTTTCTTGGGGTGTGGGGGAGTAGAGACAGGGTACATGTGGCCCAGGTTGGCCTTGAACTTGCCATGATGCTCTGCCTCAGCCTCCCAAGTGCTGAGATTACAAATGTTTGCCCCCAAGCCTGGGTTCATGTGGTTTTGACTTTGCCACCTTCCTCCAGGAAAGGGGGTGCTCATGGCAAAATAAGAGCTGGAAGCTGGGTGTGGTGGTACATGCCTGTAATCCCAGCACTCAGGAGGCTGAGGCAGGAGGATCACGTTAGTCTAGGCCAGCCTGGGCTACAAAGGAGAGTTGAAGGCCACCCTGCACTATATAGCAAGACTGTCTCAGAAAACAAAGCAACACAAACACTGAGGATGTGGGGGCCTCTGGGACCCCGGGGCACAAGTGACACCACAGCTGGTGAAGCTCAGGTTTACCTAACCCCTGCTTCCCCCGTCCAGGTTTCCACGGAATGAGCAGGCTTCCTGAGCACACGGGGCCGCATCAGTAGTGTCAGAGCCTGCCGGACCCTGCGCCGTCCCCATCCCCCTCCGGGCCTCAGGGAGGCCCCTGGCTGGCCCCTGGGCCTGGCTGGCCTACAAGGCTTCTGTGCAAAGGCGATCGGGTTTCCCTCTGAGCTGCTGTCAAGGAGCAGGCAGGCTCGGCAGCTCCTGGAATTGGCTACAACACACTTGTCAGAGCTGGGGACTCTGGGCACAGGGAGCTGACCCAAGCCCACACGGCCGGCCTGGGTTCCGCTGCATGGTCCGGAAGGCGGGGTCCTTGCATGAGCCCCTGCCTACCCCTGCCCCAGACAAACGGCCTGCTCTGCGGTGTCCCAACTTCATCGCTGCATTCCCAAGGAAGAAAGCAAGCTACTTTCCCTTCACAGAAGGGGACAGAGACATGAGCCGACTTCAAGGGGTGATTTTTAGAAAGTAGCATTGGTGGCAGGCATAGTGGTACACACCTCAAATCCCAGCCCTCGAGAGGCTGAGGCAGGAGGACCACTTTGAATTCAAGGCCAGTCTGGGCTATACAGTGAGACCCTGTCTCAAAACGAGCAAAATACAAAAACCACATCCGCTCGCGCCCCGCCCCCTCCCCGTGATAAAATGAACACGTTCATTCACTGTGCAAAGTCTAGAAGATGCACAGGAATAGGAGCAGGGATAAAAACTCCTGTCAGCTCACGAGGTGGTCACCTCTTGTCTCTGCCGTGACCGTGTTTCTGGCTCGGCCTGGTGGGGTCCCATCCGGCTGCCTCATACTCCTGCTAGGTCCTCTCTGTGTCTACCCATGAAGTCTTTTCAGAAACAGGAAACGACAGGTGGCCCCGGCGAGACGGTGACCTCTGGAAGCCCCGTCTGCGCTGTCCCTCAGCGCGTCCCTGTGGCAGCCTCTGCAGACCAGCACAGAACTGACCCCTGGTGTGCATGAGTGCACTGACACTGAGACACGCCGGGCGGCCACCTGGCCCCGCTTGGCAGCGCTGCTCCGATCCGATCCTGGGTCACCGGAGCCGCAGGCCGCCTCATCTGTCAAGCACTTCCTGCCCGACAGCCAGCTGGGGACAGACCCGTGCTGGCAGGAGCTGCACAGGAGAACCTGGCTCTCCCTCTCTCCTGGCCCCAGGCCCCTGCCGTCCTTGGTCGCTTTCTCCAGCTCCATGACCTTTCTTGTTCTTTCTCAGGTTGTTGTTTGAGGCAGGGTCTTGCCATGCAGTTCGGGCTGCCCTGGACTCGCCATGTGGCCCGCCGGCTTGGATTTGCAGCTACCCCCGCCCCACCTCAGTCATCATGCCTGGCTTAGTTCTTTTTTCTCCTTTTCACCTTATTTTTATTGAGCCCCTTTGCACGAGGACCAGGTTCACACACTCATGCCGTCCACTTCACCCCGTAGATGGGAATACCGTGGCGACCTCCGGACAGACACACATGAGGACAGCATGTGGTTTCCAAAGAGGGAAGCTGGTTAAGTCCATGACAGCCTCAGAGTCGTGAGTGCAGAACTATTTTACCATACAGCACAGGCTGTCTAATCTCAACATCTGGATCTTGTTCAGATCCCAACCAGAACAACCTCCAAGAAACATTTATCCGAGCCTAGGGGTACAGGTTTATAATCCTGGTACTCTGGGAGGTTGAGGCAGGAGGATTCATAAGTCAAGCTCCATCTGGACAACTGATCAACTAGTGAGACCTTGTCAAAAAAAAGGAGTGGGAGGGATGGGGTGCAGTGCAAAGGCCCTGGGGTCAACCCCCCCAAAGGGGTGGTAAGAGGGGTAAGAGGTGGAGCCTCACAGAAGGTCGTTACTGGCTTCTCCCCTAAATCCCTCTGCTTCCCATCTGGCCAGGTGACCTTCTTGTTTTCTTTGTTTGTACTGTCCTGGTCTGCCCACAGTGACAATGCACTTTTATTTCTCATACATGTGGATACAGATCAATATATAGTCATACATGGCAAAGATGAAATAGTATTTATTTACTCAATCCACGGACTCTTGGGCCTGCGCTCTGAGTTGAAGGCTACTTATTTAAAGCTACATAAGCTGATAAAGTCCTGAGTCTGACTTACAGACCTGTCTTGGCATTCAGGTTTATCACCTCACATGTGCTAATCCGAGTCTTCCTGCTTCCTGGCCAGTTTTCAGGCCTGCCGTCACATCTTTCACCCAATAGCCTCCTCACTCTTCAGTTATTTTTAATTTACATCCTCTGTGGGCTGCAGTAAATCAGGCAGGACATTTTCAGAGATGGTTCTTGATTGACGGACTGTCCCCAACCCTGCATATCAGAGAGTATCTTCCAGAGCCTTTGTAAAGAAATAAGAACTTGTAAGGGTACACAATTCTGGCTCAAAATTATTTCCCTGCAGACTCCAAGATAGTACATTGTTCCATTGTATGGTTTTTTTTGAGACAGGGTCTAGCTACTTGTGCAGGCCAATCTTGCACTCACACCCACAGCAATCTTCCTGCCTCAGCCTCCTGAGTGCTGGGATAACAGGTGTGTCCCCCCACCCCGACCCCCAGGCCTGGCTGGTTCCATTGCCTTCTGGTATTTACAATTGCGAGAAACATCTGGGGTCAGCCTAAATTTTGCTCCTTTATAGAGAAACTGCTTTCTTTATCTGGATACTTGCAAAACTTTTTCTTTTAAATTTTAAAAACTACCTAGGTGATGCCTAGGTACTGCTTTCTTCTGATTACATTTTACTTCAGGAAAGCTTTCCCATTAGTTCCTTAGTTTCGCTCCAGCTGTGTCTGCTCTGCCCTGTTTCAGGTGTCCTGTCCGCCTAGGGCAGCTCTCCCGCACAGGCCTCCCCACTGTCTGTTGTCTTCTTCTCCTATCTTGGTTGCTTTCTTTTCTCTGCACTCGGTGGGCAAGCGTCTCGTCTTGCATGTGCTTCAGCAGATCTCTTCTGTGGACTCGCCTGTCTCCATGCACTCGCGACCCTCCTTCCCCAGCTCTCACGCTCCCTGCCCCACCACTGGGCGCCGTCTCCTGTCCCGCCACAGATGTCAGCACCCGCAGCTCTCCTATGAAGACCGGGACATGTGTTTCTCCGAGACCTAGCTCTGCTCTTTTCTTCAGAACTGCAGTATCATGACCTCAACCATTCTTAGCAATGGTGTCCAAACATTAAATGCATCTTCTCTAGTGCCCATGTTGACAAAGGTCCAGAATGGTCCTGGTGACCCCTCTCCCCTCCCACTGCTGCGGTGCCATCCAGCTCACGGTCAGGGAAGGAGCCCGGGCTGCAGTGAGTGTTCTGCTGTTGGGAGTTCTGGCCTCACTCGCCATAAGAAACCTCTTTTCTTTGCAAGGACCCAGCACCAGGTGTTTCCGTGCAGTCAGGAGCAAATGGATGGATACACAGCAAAGCCCTGGAGAACTGCGGAAGATGATGACTCCTCGGTTCAAGCCTCATTACAGCCGTGAGACCATAGGGCTGCCCGCCCGCTGTGCCCCTCACTGGGTAGGTGAGGGTGGCCCTGTTCCCATCCCCTTGGCCTGCAACACAGCAGACGTCAGTGGCTCTGCTCTTCCCCTTTCTCTCTCTTCTCCTTGGACAAGCGCTGCATATAGTGGTAAATTGTTTTCAAATCCTCTTAAAAGCAATCCAGTCAGCAACTGTGTGATTATCATGGTAAATCTACTCCCAGAAAGGAGAGGAGCAGGCAGCTGTCCTATTGTGACTGAGGGTGTTGGTGGCTGGGGAAGCTCTGTGGTGCCAGTATCACACAGGTGGAAGAAGACAACACCATGCTGATGGAGTGGCCCTCATTATCTGTGGGAGAGGCATCCTAAGACCACAGTGCAGGCCTGGGAGGGCAGGCAGTGCTGGGACCTGGAAGTCGATGCTTTCCAGTTTAACTACATTCTGGTCAAGCCCTGTAGTTACACCTACTTTTTGAGACAGGCTCTTGCTATGTAGTTTACCCTGGCCTTGGGCTCACTGCGCATCTCAAACTGGCCTCAAACCTGTGGCAATCCTCCTGCCTCAGCCTCCCAAGGGCTGGGATTACAGGCATGCACCATTAGTCCTGGCTTCTGTAGCTAAAATTTTTGCAGATGTGGGGGGACAACAGCCAAATTAGCATAATTTTTGTTTGCTTCTTTACAACGTCGTGGGTAGACAGGAAAGTCAAGAATGGCGTATCTTGCATTTTGTTAGGTAAAGCTGGATTGAGGGCACTCTGTGATACGGGCCAGGCTATGTGAAAACCAAGCCGGTTCCTAAGTAACTAACGGGCAGGTAGTGTAGACCAGGTGGACCTAGAAGCTGTGGGGCTGATTCCCACAGAGGTATGGGAGGAGCGGGGTGGCCTACAGTTTCACCCCGGGACTCTGAATGGTGAACGATGTAAAACACAGGAATTGTTGTTCTGGAACTTTCTATCTGAGAGTGGCAGAACACAGATGACTGCGGGTAGCAGAAACCATGCAGTGAAAAGAGAATCTGGCTCTGCTGTCCTGCTGCAGAGGAGAGGGACCAGCCAGGTCCTGCTGGCCTAGAAAGTGGCCCATGGATTTAAGACCCTGGGCTGTGAGTGAGGAGTTTGACCTGCTTGTTTCCCGGACCCAGGGCACGGTGGGGGGAAATGATGGGAATGCTCACCTAGTACCAGCCAGGACACAGAATTTTTCACACTCTGCCTGGCTACATTAACAGATTTTATAAACAAACACACATGACCATGTCCCCTCCATCCCTGCCAGGCAGCACAGCCTAAGGGCTCAAATGCAGCTCAGATGTCCTCCCATGGGCAGCTCTTGTCCCACATTGCCAGGCCCCCTGGCCTTCCGCACTCACTTGAGGAACAGCTCTTCCAGGGCGCTGTGTGGCCTCAGCCCGGAGGCGTCCAAGAAGCAGGGTGGCGGGTGGCGCTGGGGCAGGAACACGGCCTCACCCGGGTGCACCTGCGGGATGTCCTGCAGGGCCACGGCGAACTTTTCCACCAGCTGCCTGGCAAGGCAAGGGGGGGATGGGGTCAGAGGCCTGGCATCCTGCCTGCAGCGCTCTCTGCAGACCTGAAGAGCGGGGACAGCACCACCTGCTGATGGAGAGCGCCCACACTGGCCTGTTTGCCTGTGCACCCCAATTCCTCCCTGGGCACCTGCTCGGGTCAATGCATGGTTCCAATGCCAGGCATTAAAGGAGGAGCTGAGGCTGGCCACCACCAAGGAGAAGTGTGGACAAATCCCCGCAGTGTCTCCGAGCCCAGGACTGTCCGTCCCAGCACTAGGACGGGTGGGGTGAGAAGGGCGGGGTGCAGTAGGAACCTGCCGAGGAGTCCAGCTGAGGGGCAGCAAAGACATGAGCTGTCCCAGAGCCCCAGGACTCAGAGGGAGCCTCCAAGACACAGATGCCGTCCGCCCAGTCCGGAAGGCTGGCTTAGCAGATCTGAGCGGGCGACATGGACAGGGAAGGAACAGGACTGAAAGCTGCTCTTCCCCGCCCCGTCACGTCACGGTGCACTGAAATGGGGACAGGGACAGGAAGGTGGTTAGGATGAATCCTGAGCTGGCTGTGATGACCACGCCTATGATTCCAGCACTCAGGAGGCCGAGGCAGGAAGATCCTCTCGAGTTTGAGGCCAGCCTGGGCTACTGGGGGAGACCTTGTCTCACCCCCTTTCCCCCAAAAAAGAATCCTTAGAATGAGCTAAATCTAGCAAGGACACCTGGGCACTGTACTGAAACCTAGCAGCTGGCAGAGTGGGGTATGTCCACAGCCGTGTGTGTGTGTGTGTGTGTGTGTGTGTGTGTGTGTGTGTGTGTGTTCATCCAGAGAGGGGTGCCTTCCAAATCACGCCCTTTCCAGCGCTCAGTCCCTTTCACTCCCTGGCTGCAACATGCACCATTTCCTTTGCTTCCTCACAAGTGGCAGATTGGCTCTTCCACGGCTTTGGCAGGCACATGCCCGTTTCTTTCCTTCCTTACCGAGGTGAGAACACCCCCACCCCCCCAGATCCGGATCACTGCTGTTGCTGCTGCTCTGTGCCGGGAGGCTGGGGTGGGGGTACCAAGGACACCAGGGCTATTTGAACACAAGCCCTGTGACCCTGCGACAGATAGATAGTCTGATAATCTAGAGGGGTGAAGGGGGGACGGTATATACAGAGGGGACGTGCTGGACAGAGGGGGGGTGTGTCTGAGGGAGAGGGGCAGGGCGCTACATGGGGGCGTGTGCAATTCAAAACCTATGAACCGCTAAGCTTCGGTCTCCCCACAGTAGTCAGCTGTGGGGAGCCAGGAAAATGGAACACGGAGCCTCCAGAAAGGAGAGCCAGCTCCACACATGGACTCACATAAACACTTTTCAACACACACGACGGACCCAGCTAGGAGCGAGGGTCAGTCCTAGGATGTGGATTCAGGATGAGGCATTTCATAGAAGTGCCCTTCATGTAACTGCATCCTGGTAGGGGACACAGCACCATCCAACAAGCCCATTGTGGGGGCACATGTCTGAAATCCCAACCTGTGGGCAGCTGAGGCAGGAGGATCATGAGTTCGAGGCTGGCTTGGCAACATAGTGAGACCATGCCTCAAAAAACAAAACAAAACAAAACAAAACAACCAACCAAACAACCAAAAAACAAAAAGCGAGGGCTGGGGATTTAGCTCAGCGGCATAAGCGCCTGCCTTGCAAGTGTGTGGTTGTGAGTTTGATCCCGGGTACCAAAAAAAAAAAAAAAAAAAAAAAAAAAAAAGGAAAATCAAGCTGGGCATGGTGGCATATGCCTGTAATCCCAGCACTCTGGAGGCTGAGGCAGGAGGAGTGTTATAAATTCGAGACCAGTTTGAGCTACAAAGTGAGCTCAAGGCCAGCCTGAACTGCATAGTAAGACCCTGTCTCAAAAAAGACAAAAAAGAAAAACCAAGAACACACATTGACAATAATAACAACATAAAATAAGCTATGGACCCTGCCTCCTCCTCCTGCTCCCAGCCAGGACTGCCATGTAAGAGAGCAAAGCCCGGGAGGAACAGCTTGGGGGCCCATCAGCATCCAGCGTGGGACCCGCTGGCCCTGGAGGTGGCCCACCAGCCAGGAGAACCTGTCTTGCCTTCTCCACAAGGGACCCAAGGGAAGGCCCCAGCCTCGTCACAGGGCTGTTCTGAGGATAAAGGGCGTGATGCTGATGGAAAACGAGGAAGATGCTGGGCGGGCATGGTGGTACGTGCTTGTAATCGCCACACTCTGGGAGGCTGAGGCAGGAGGATCACAAGTTCAAGTCCAAGCTTGGGTGAGTCAGTGATTAGCAAGACTCTGTCTCAAAATAAAGAGTAAAAAAAAGGCCTGGGGATGTAGTGCAGTGCGAAGGCCCTGGGTTCAGTCTCCAGCAGGGAAAAGCAAACAAGCAAGGACAGTCCTCTCCCGAGGAACTTTGGCAACAGTCTTAGAAACCGCCACCACAAATGACAAAGTAACTCTCCATTTTGTTCCCGTCTCTGTCTTGGAGAGTTTTGCAAGTCTCTGTTAGAGGCTTCTTAGGCTGCTTTACAGCTAAAATCAGTGTGCGGATCACTAAATTTGAATGAACCTCCTCTATGAAGGAGTCCTGACCCTGTCCCCAAAAACATCACTCAAAGGGACTTTTGTGGAGTTCTCCATAAAGCATGACCATTATTAGGTGCTCAGACAACGATGCTACCATCTAATTGGGGACTTCCTGTGCAGGCTGGAGCTGGGAATAAAGGACGGCACTGTGGCTTAAATATCCACTTCCCCCTCCCGCACCCCCAGCCCCAGTGCACACTCAAGGCCTTTTAACTTTAAGAAAGGGAACTGAGGATGTCACCCCTTCAAGACACAAGCCAATTCTCAGGGCATGACAGGCGCGCTGCTGGGGATAATCGGGGTCCTGTCTGAGTTACCCTGCTGGGGCAATTTTAGGAGGCCCGGCCTGGCAGACAGCGTCCGCCCCACCCGTAGCCTGACACCTCCTAGACCTCAACCCGGCCCCCGGCCCTGCCACCTCCCTCCCCGGGCTCCGTGCAGAGAACTGTAAGGTCGAACATTGCCTTCGAAAGCACCCCACATCAAAACAACCACCTCAAAGTGGCTGCTGTCAAAGAGGCCTTCTCAGAGCCCCGCTGGGGAACATCATGTGCTCAGAAGGTGGGCGCTGCTTTCAAGGGGACCCCACAGCCCCAGACACCCTCTCTTGGAGACTGCAAAACCTCCCAGCCAGGACTGCCAGAGCCCCGATCCAGCAAGGGGTGGTGGGAATCCCCGCACAGGGCGTGCCTCGGGAGCCTCTCCAGCTAGAGAATGTGGAAACCAGAAGCCAGGGTCAGGGGTCTCTGCTGGGTGACAAGGTGTGTGTGAGGTCACCAGGCACTCTTGGGAGGGAGCCGAGGGTCCCTGGAATGCTGGTGACACTCAGTCTCCATACCCCGCCACCATCCTGATCTCAGACAGGACCGGCACTGCCCTCCCCGGGTCCCACGGTGACTTCGAAGCACCCACCCTAAACTCTGTGTGTGCCCACCTCACTTCCAGCCCCAACGCGTCCCAGCCTGTCCACACAGGACCAAGTGGCGCCAAGCCACTTACCCTGCCATACTTATGTCTTAGCACCGTTTCAGAGGCCATAGAGCTCAGCTGTGTGCTCCGGTGGTTTTGCGCAGGTTACACCTCCTTTTTTTTTTTTTTTAATTTTTTTTTGTCTTTTTCATTTTTATCGGTACAGGGGATCGAACTCATGACCGCCTGCTTGCAAGGCAGGTGCTTATGCCACTGAGCTAAATCCCCAGCCCCGCAGGTTACACCTCTGACTGTGGCCTGAGGTATTGTTTTTCAGGAACCTAGAGGCTGCCACTGTCCCTCAGCCAGCAGAAGCCCTGACGCTCCACCTGGGTCCCCGCAGGTGTCCACTGGGTGACCTTCAGAGCCACAGCTCAGGCCGAAGGACACACTAACCTGTCACTTCCGGTGAAAGGCCATGGAGCCAGGCACGTGAGTCCCTTATCCCATAAGCACCCTGGGCCCTGTCCTTGGGGAGGCCTCTGAGGGGTCCCCCTGCTTTGCGCCCGGCTGTCTCAGGCCTAACCTGCAGTTTCTGCAGGAGGAACTGGGCCTGTGTCCATCACAGGCAGACATCAGGCAACAGGCGGGGCCTCTCGTGCCAGGCGCACCCCAGGAACCCCTTCCACTTGCACTGGTCCCTGCCTGCTGGGTGGTAGTTTCACCCTACAACCCCAGGATCCACCATGGTGACAGAGACCGGTCAGCTCAAAGCCAAAACCTTTGATATCTATGCAGAGGCTGCAGAATATGTGGGCTGATACCTGAGCTGGGCTGCAGGAAATTAGCAGAGAAGGGAGACAGCCCAGGGTGTGGCTTGCAACCATTTCTGGACAACTGAAATGGAGCAAATCATTTGGGGATCCTAGAAACAGGTAGGTTCAATCACTCAGGCACACACTCAGGAGGTGCAAGTGGGTGGCGCATACCTGTGATCTCAGCATGTGGGAGGCTGAGGCAGGAGGATCACTGTGAGTTCAAGGCCAGCCTCAGCTACATAGTGAGTTCCAGGCCAGTTAGCACTGCACAGTGAGACTCTGTCTCAAATAATCCCCAAGTCAACCACTCAGGCTGTCTGGGAAAGCCAGGCCTGAATGGCTAATCAGTCAGGTTATGGGGCTGTGGCCTTCTCTGCAGCCCAGCCCAGCCCCAGCCCCAGCCCCTGGTAGCTGGGGCTTCCCCTGCCTCATTGGCTTGCCTCACTCCTGCAGCACCCTGGCCCCCACAAACTGCCGCTTCCTCTGTGAAAGGGAGGTGGGCCAAAGGAAACCAACTAGCACCGCCTGGGCCCACTGTCCTCCACGGCCACCACCTGGCTTTCCCGTCTGCCCTTTCCTGTTCCTGCTACCTGTCCGAGGGGAAATTAGACCCCTGCGCAGCTCCCTCCACACTGTGCACCCGGCTGCTCATTCTGTCTCAAAGCTTTAAATGTTGCTTGCACATGGCAGCTTCTGCCGTGCGGCACGCCCCGCCTGCCCGATCCAGGTTCTGCTATGGATTAAAATCTGGTGGTCAACTTAACACCAGCTGAATTAAATCATCATGGTGCTGAGTGTAGATGGCCCACCTGAGGGACGGCTGCCAGCATGAAAGGAGGTGGAGCGGAAGAGTGGGGCATTGTGGGTTCTCCTAAGTGTTGCTGTTTGGAGCCTTTGGTTCTCCTGGCAGAACTTGGCATGCTGGCTCCCCTGATATGAACTCAGCTATTATCATCAGAGGAGCTCGGGACCTTGTCGCTGAGAGTGGCTGTGGTTTACTTTGGGGGAGCTCTGGTCCTTACGCTGAGCAGTGCTTCCTGCACCAGAGGGGAAGATGTGTGCTGTTCAGTCTCCAGGAGAAGCTTCTTGTGCTGGCTTCCTGATATGAGCTTGGCTGTGTCGGAGCAGCTTGGGACCTCACTGTGGCTGAGGATGGCTGGGGAACTTTTCAGGGGAGGCCTGGTCCTTATTTTGAGTCACATCTTGGCTCCACTGCAGAACCCTCACAACTCCTTCATCCACTGGCACAGACTTTCTGGCTTCCATCACTGACCCTGGGTCCTTCCCAGTGCAGATCCATGGAACAGACCTGCATGAGTCCTTGTCATGGGCTCTAGGCCTCCAGCTGGACTCATGGGAGGCACTGTCATGGGCTCTAGGTCTTCAGCTGGACTCATGCAAACATTGCTGTGAGGTCCAGGCCCTCAGCTAGATTTTCTAGGTCTTAGTGTTGTGGACGTATTTCATGCACTTTCTTGTATTTAACTCCGGGTGACCATCATAAAATAACAATATGAATTCTGTGCCCTCTATGTAATTATTCTCCTGGCAACCCCTGACTCCTCAAAGGAATTTTTCCTTTTTTGCTTTGAGACAGGATCTCAATATGTCATCCAGGCTAACCCTGAACTTGCTATGTAGCCCAGGCTGGCCTAAAAATCACAGCAATCCTCCTGCCTCAGCCTCTGGAGTGTGGGGATTATAGCCATGCACCACCACACTTGGCTATTTTTGACTTTTACCTTGCAACTGCCTTCTTAATGTAAGTCATAGAAACCAGGATTTCTCTCTCCCAAGGCAACCCCAAAGGCAAGAGACTAATTTTCCCATGATGCCTCTCACTGGCCTAAGTAATGCCTTAGGAATGCCTGGTGGCCAGTGATAGGTCCCAAGACCCTCCAATGCCAGAGGGCCCAGGAAACAGAAACCAGGCTATGACAATCCCATCTGTGCAGGGAAAGCTCCAGAAAAACCCAGGAGCCAGGGCTCAGAGCTACAAGATGGTGGGCCTGCCTGGAGGAGGTATGGAAGCCTGATCCCCCTGCCCCGAGGTCCCTGCGTCTGCACCCTTTGTAACAGCTCTGTCACATGAAAAGTGTCTCCTCGAGTTCTGAGAGCTGCTCCAGCAAGGAGATCGATACCGAGGAGAAGGCCTGGGGACTCCGAGTTGGAGCTGGTCACCCAGAGGTACAAGAGAAACCACCAGCTGGAAGAGATTCGTGAAGGCACAGGGAGTGGATGGGATCGCAGGCTGCAGCCCCGAATTCCCACGTTGGAGCCCTTGTGCCTGAGGTGGTGGCTTCAGGAGGTGGAGACTTTAGAGGTGAGCAGGGGTTATTGTGAAAGGTCTGTGTCACACTCAGCTCTGTCACCCTCCTCCTGCCACACATGACACAAGAGGACACCCATCTGCAACTGGGGAAACGGCCTTGCCCTGGGCCCCTGGGCCCCGGTGCTGTTACAACAGCTCTCAAAAAATCTAGGCAGATGGAAACCGAACCCTAAAAATGGATTCCTGCTGCGTGTGGTGGTGCCCACCTGTAATCCCAGCACTCGGGAGGCTGAGGCAAGGAGGCTCGCTTTGAGTTCAAGCTCCACCCACAGTACAAAGCAAGACCCTGTCTTGAGAAACAGAGATGGATTCAACTGTGGCCCTGGCATCTCTGTGACGGATGAACCCAGGCCTCCCTCCTGCCTACAGCCCATTAAATCAGGGCCAGCAGAGCCCCTACCAGATGATGGCGCTCACAAGGCCGCCTTCTCCGCCCCAGATGGGGCAGCTGAAACCTAGTGCGTGGCCATGGCCCCTAGAAGGCAGTTTTCAGTTTAGACTGTGGTTTTGTGCAGCTCCTTTCCCCAAGAGGCCTGCTTCTGTGAGCCTGGGCAGACAATCAGGCTGTTTTATGATTACTGCAGCCTCAAAGGCCAGTTTAGGCCCTGACTGCCAGCAGGCGATCAGCTGTTTCCTGAATCTGTCAATGAACATGGCTGGTGGAGGAGCAGCCCCCTCATCTGCTGCTCCCCGCCCTCTCATCTCCCCTCTTTTGGTTTTTTTGAGGCAAGGTCTCGCTATGTCGTTTAGGCTGACCTTGAACCCAGTGTAGCCCAGGCTGGGCTTCAAACTCTCAGGGATGGCCCTACCTCGGCCTCCTCCTGAATGCTGGGTTTCTGGGGTGTGTACCACCACACTGGGCTGAGGGGCAGTTCTGGAGCTTTGCAGACACACGACTTCAGGCTGGGATCCTGCCCTCACCTGTGCTGGGGCGTGAGCTGTACATCATCGTCCTCACTGTCTTCCAAGCAGTAGACATCACGCGACTTCTGTAGTAACAAACTCCCCAGGTCCTGCTCTGGGGGCTGCTGCCTGCGGGGCCACAAGAGCCAGAGCCAGGGCTCAGCGCCACCTCAGGCCACCCAGCCCCATCACCAGGTCTCCAAAACCCACGGCCACAGCCACAGCATGGCCTGGGAAGCTGCAGGCCGGGTAGCCTGGGGCCCCTGTGTGCTGTGAGCGGAGGGCCAGGGTGCCTAGTATGGAGAGCGCTCCTGCAGACAGACGTCAACGCACAGCTCCACGTGCGTCTGGTTCCCAGGGTCTAGCATCTATCTACCATCGAGCCACACCCCGTGCTTTCTATGTTTCTTATTTTGAGACAGGGTCTTAGTAAGCTGCCTCAGCAGGCCCACGGAGTGGGATTACACACAGCCAGTTGGCAGGAAGGCCTGGGCCTGGCCTTCTGCTTCCCGGGCCCAGCTGCACAGCCAGGGGATGCTGTGCCCAGGCATCTCAGCACCTCTGCCGCAGTCAGAGCCTCCTCCCTGCTCTATGTGCCCTGGAGACCCCCAAGTTGGCCCCAAGTCTCTGTCCTGCTTCTGTAGGTTGCCGAGAGCCCTGGAACCTCCCCAGCCCAGTCCCCTGGCTCTGGCCCTGGCCATGCCCCCGGCCAGCAGCCGAGGCCCTGCCTGGCTCCTGGAGCCTCTGGAGCTGCTGATTTGCCAGCTTCTGGCTCAGTGGGCCCTTTGGATGCCACCTGTCCACGTCTGCATGCCTCTTCCCCATGGCACAGTGTCCCTGACATCCGGACACAAAGCTGGCCATTGGGAGCCCTGGCCCTCCTTCCCCATGCCCCCCATTCCTCAGAAACCCATCTCTGGGTGCTCAGAGCCCCTCCACTCACCCTGCACTCTTAAGTTCACTGCTCCCCTGTCTGCGTCCTGTTACCATACTACCAAGTTGAGCACTCCTATCCCGGCCAGCCCAGCAGCATGGCCTGGCCTCTCTGCCATCCCCATCCTCCAAAGCCCTTCTTGTCCTGCCAGGTTCAAGGGCAGCTGGGGGCTTTCCTGACCTTTGACCCAAGAGTGTGTCCCCATGTGGCCACACGCGGAGCCAGAGGTGATTAGGGTAAAAAAGAACCCTTGGGCTTCCTCAGAAGAGACCTAGGCTGCTGGACAGCTCAGAGCCAGAGCACTTGCCCAGCACAGAGAGGTTGGCGCTCTCGCAGGAGCAAATCAGCTGGTTAGGAGACAGGAGCATCTGTCGCCAGGCTCAGAACCTTTCCCAGCACCTCCTACCCGCGCAGCACAGCGCCATCTAGTGGGGGTGCAAAACACTCAGGTGAAGGAAGTTAGCAAACCATGAACTCTCCAGGTCAGTAGAAGCCTGAGGAAGCCCTGTGACAGGCACACACCTGCCATCCCAGCGGAGGCAGGAGGTTTGTACGAGTAAGGCCAGCCTGAGCAACTTAGCAAGATTGTGCCTCAAAAACAAACAGACAGATAGACAGACAAGCCCAGGTTCAATCCCCAACTACTGAGGGAAAAAGAAAAGAGAAGGGGAGGAAAGGAGATGGTGCAGGGAGAGGGGGCGCGCTGGTGGAGGGCCAGGCACAGACAGGGACCCTTGCAATTCTGATCAGCGCCCCTGGATTCGTGCCTCTGGGGCAGGGGTGCCAGGCAGTCAATGTGGTCCCAGGGTGGCCAGCGCCTCGTGTGCCCCTCTGCAGAACTGTCCTGACTCTGCACCAGCAGCAGTGCTGAGCCCAGCTGGAGAGGGGCCCAGTGGGAACCCGGGAGGCCCTTACCCCGCCGAGATGCCTCCCTCCTCCCAGGACTTGGATCAATCCGAGCTGCTGTGTCCGGGTGCACAAGGCTGCTCTGTGGGGACCGGAAGTCACTCTGTCCTAAAGCTCCTTGAAAATCCCAAAGAAATGAACACCAAGCTGGACCCCCACTCACCTCTTCTCCTGCAGTAAGGAAGCTAAGGAGTTGATGTATTTCTCAGAGCCCCAGGGGCTGCCCTGCAGACGTGGATAAGGGAAGAGAGAAGAAAGTCAGAGGAGCAGAAGGAAAAGCTTGGGCTAAATAAACCCTTGTCGCTGAGCATGGTGGAGCAAGCCTGTAATCCCAGCACTTGAGAGGCTGAGGCAGGAGGATTCCCATAAGTGTAACCTGGAGTAAAACCCTGTCTCAAAATAAACAAACGTGCCCTTGACTTATTGTGTTTACTTTTCTGGAGAGCTAATACATTCACATGATGAAAAAAAAAAAAAAAACAAAAAAGAGGAGGGTGTTCTCTCCTGCATCCCTACCCTGGCCACCTAGCTCCTCTCCACAGGGGACTCAGGTGGGTACTGCTTTGATGCTTCACATTCGATCTAACTTATTTATTATTACTGATATTTTTTTGAGACAGAGTCTCACTAGGCTGGCCTCTCTTTGTAGCCCAGGCTGTGTTTGAACTCACAGAGGCCCTCCTGTGCGGCTTCAGTACTGGGTCACAGGTGTGTGCCACCACACCCTGCTCTGACGCCATATTCTCAGAATACATTTTCTGGGGGCCTGGATGTCCAAATACTCTACCTCTCCCCAAGAGCCCAATCCCCACGTGAAGTTCATCCCTCATGTTTCCATGGAGGACCCTGGTCACTGGGTCACCAGGGTCACTGACACCTGAGTCTCTGTGCCCAACCCAGCCAAGACTCAGTCACCGAGATCCTAATCTTTGCGGTGGAGGACTCGAGGGATCTGGGCAGAGGAGGCACTGAATTGGGTGCCACCCCTGGCCACATAGTAGTAAGTGTTAGGAGCTGTGGCCCCCAGGATGGTCGGAGGGAAGGGGCAGAGGCCAGGGGGGTGGGGGTGGGGGTGGTGCTCACCAAGCTGTTGGTGCCGGGCTCCAGGGCGGCTGCCCCCTGGCTCTGGCTAGCCAGGTCTGCTTTTGGGTCCCCATCTGCGGGCTGCGGCTCTGACCCCTCCGCTGAGATTACCTGGTCACCCCACCTTTGGCCCTGGGTGTCCTGCAGAGGCCTGGGGTTTAGGAACTCGATGGGTGGTGGGCTCCAGTCGCTGGGGAATGGGTCCCCGGCTGTCTCCATTGTGATGGGTGTCAGATCTCCCTGAAGCGATGGTTCTGGGTGCTGGTAGCTGCCAGGACCCCTGCGGACAGGACACAGTGCCATGGTGCCCCCGCCTGTCCAGACACCAGGCGACACGAGGGGAGGACAACACTACTTGGGACCCCCAGATACTCAGGAGGCTGAAGCAGAAGGGTTACAAGTTCCAGGTCAGTCTGGGCAACTTAGGGAGACCTTATTTTAAAAACAAAACAAAGCAAAACCCCTACAAAATATAGACACACAAGCTAATAATTAAACAACTATATTAGTGAATGTGCAATGTGTAAAGATGTAATTTGCGACGACAAAAATCTAAGGGGTGGGCCAGAGCTGTCAGGGAGGCTTTTGTACACCACTGCAGCTAAATCGATAATGACACACATGAATTTGATATGTGTTATAATCTTCAGGGTAACCACTATGAAAATAAAAATATTTAGAAAAGGAAATAAAGAGCTATCAAAACAGTATGTTAAAAAAAAAAACAAATGCAAAAGAAAAAAGAAAGTGAAGGAAGAACAAAAGAAAACAGCAAAGTCGCAGGGAATCCTCCTTGTCAAAGGTCATTCAAATGTAAATGACACAAATTCTCCAACCAAGGGGAAAGGGGCTTTGCAAAATGGATTAAAACAAAGACACAATCCAACTGTGCGATATTTCCAAAACTCACTTTGAATCCAAAGATAAAAACAGGTAGGAAATGAGAAGGAAGGCCAGGCACGGGGTGCACACCCCTGCCATCCCAGCACTCAGGAGGCTGAGGCAGGAGGATCGCCATGGGCTTTGAGCCAGCCTGGGCTCCAAAGTGAGTTCAAGGCAAGCCTGGACTGTATAGTTAGACCCGTCTGGGAAGAAGGCAGCATCCTAGAAACAGGAAAAATGATAATTCTCCATAGTCGGACACACCCCACGTGCCCCATGCCAAGTACCATGACTGGGACACAGGAAGGGGCAGAGCGCTCCTCGAAGTCAGTGGGGAGCAGGGCACACAGCTCACCCTCACCTCTTCACTTGTCTGCTTGTGCCTTTGCTTAACACCACGCACCTCTCAGTAGGGCTTTGGTATACCAGGAGGGTGGTCTCCCCCGGCCAGGCTCAGGGGAAACCTACCCACCCTCGGGACAGTGGTGTCCATGAGTGAGCCCGGTGTGGCAGTGCATGCAGATCATCCCCACTCAGCATGCTGAGGCAGGCGGATCGCTGTGATTTTAAGGCTGGCCTGGGCTACGGAGGGAGTCCAAGGCCTGCCTGAACCACACAGCGAGACCTTGCCTCAAAAAACAAAAGGAGGGCTGGGGACTTAGCTCAGCGGAGCAAGGGCTTGCCTGGTAAGTGCAGGGTTGTGAGTTCGATTCTGGATAAAAAAAATAAAATGGGCCAGGGACGTAGCTCAGCAGCATAAGCGCTTGCCTGGCAAGCGAGAGGTCATGAGTTCGATCCCCGGTACATATATTTAAAAAAAAAAAGGGGGGGGGGCTGGGGATTTAGTTCAGCGGCATAAACGCCTGCCTTGCAAGCAGGCAGTCATGAGTTCGATCCCTGGTACCGCTAAAAAGGAAAAAGACCAAAATAAATAAATAAATAAATAAATAAATAAACAAAAGAAAACAAAACCAAAGAGTCCATGAACACCGGCTCCGAACTGCACACCAGTCCTGGGGCCATCGTGGTACACCTAGCACCACGGCCAGTGGGTCCTGCGCCTTGATTTCTCACCTGTACCCGGATCCCGGGGCCGAGGGCCAGTCAAGGCCCGCACCTGGTGGCCTTCAGGCAGAGGGGAACCGGCAGGACACACACGAGGGAGAGCGAGCGGCCTGCGTGACGCCAAAGCGCGAGCCCCGCCCGCGGCCGCCTGCCGTTCCTGCCCGCGTGCGGGGCTGGCGCCCTCGCGCGCCCCACGCTGTGCTCATCGGCGACCCCTAGAGGCTGCCCGGAGCTCGGGGATCGCCGGGTCCCTCACGTGGGACCGCGGCTGACCGCGGCTTAGGCATGCAAGGCGTGGGGAAAGACCATGTGAGCAAGGGGCCCGCGGTGGCCACTGGGTGGTTTGACGATGGCACCTTTCCAAGTTTGAGACCCAGCTGCGCTTGGTAAGTGAAAAAAAATCAAACTCAAAACAAAACCAAACCCCGCTATCGGGGCATATTGGCATACATCTGTCATCCCACCGCATGGGAGGCTGAGGCAGGAGGATGGCCATGTGTTTGAGGGCAGCCTGGGCTACACAGTGAGTTCAAGGCTGAACTGTGTGAGACCCTGTCTCCAAAACAAACAGGGATCTGGGGATGTAGCTCAGTGGCACCACGCCTGTCCGGCAAGCTCGAGGTCCTGAGTTGATTCTCAGTACCAAAACAAATAATCCAGAAAACCCACAAAGTTGAGCCCATACAGTTGTGTGTGTGTGTGTGTGTGTGTGTGTGTGTGTGTGTGTGTGTAGCTCTCTGCTCATAACACCACCCACTAGGAACTCTCGCCACACATTGTACAGACAGCAGAGCCATCCTGGGGAACAGTATGTAAACCCACAAGAGTGTGCACCTGCTTTAGGGCCTCAGATTCCTGCTCAGCACACATAGGTTGGACCCCAGCCTTGTACCTGGTGTCGAGCTGGGCATCCCCACCAGGGATTAAATCCTGGGCCTTCGTCCTGAGCTACATCCCCTGCCACTTTTATTTTTTATTTTGAGAGGGGGTCTGGTTTCAGCCTTCCTGCCTCAGCCTCTCAGAGGGCTGGGATGATAGGTGCGTGTTACCAAGTCCAGCTCAAATTATTTTGATGCGGGGTCTTGCCAAGTTGCCCAGGCTGGTCTTTCTGAAGAGCTAGGATTGTAGGTGGACACCATCCTACCCTGGGAGCGGGGCCATCCGCCTGCCTCAGCTTCCTGGGTTCTGGGATGACAGGTGTGCATTGTTCTACCTTAGCCTGGAGCCAGCCCCGTGGCTCTGAACAATGATGTCTGAGTTGGCATTGTGCATGGCCACGCAGTACCCTTCTGCCTGGTGCTGCAGGCAAGAGGACAGCAGAACTGAACAGGGCTGAACAGTGCCACAGCATCTTTGGTAGTGTCTCTGGGTGTGTCTGTCCTCAAGGGACCCCACTTCTGGGGCCCACTGAGGATGAGCAGGAAGGCGGCCCCCAGTGCTGGTGTGTTGGCAGAGTTCCCACTTGCTAATTGTCATTTCCTGCTTCCGATGCGTTTTCTGTGTGTGTGTGTGGGGGGGGGGGTCTGGGCTGCTTTGTTCCTCTGACTTCTGGTTGTCTAAAGGAATACTCATAGCATCCCCGACCGTGCTATTTTACCTGTTCAGGTGGGTCCAGTAATAAGCACCCAGAGGCAGTGCCAAGCCCACTGTAAGCCCGCCTTGCAAATCCTATGTGTGTCATAGTAAACCTGTCACTCCAGGGAGCCCTGACTAGGAAGAGGCAGTGATGGTTTCCACCAAAGACGGTGAGGAGAAGGTCCGGGGAGTTTAGGTGCCTGCTGTGGTGTTAACCTGTCACCTAACACCCTTGAACAGCCTTTTGTTTTGGTACCGGAGATCAAACTCATGACCTTGAGTTTACAAGGCAAGCTCAAGGTTGAGCCACTGAGCCAAATCCGCAGGCCTGAACAGCCACTGAGATGTTAGCAGAAGGATCTGGAACTTACACACAAGGCTCAGCCTTCATAACAGTATGCGTGCTCCCTTGTGCCTCATTAATCTGACTGTTTTAGTTAAAAGAGAGATCCCACGTGAAGGGTCACTTAAGGCCCATTGAGTGTAGTTAACCAGGGCCTCAGTGTGACATCTTCTGATCTCAAGGAGGGAGAAAAGACAGCCACCAAATGATGGCACCGGTGAAATACTCCTTCACCATCCATGTTGCAGACGGGCCAAGTTTTCGGGTTGATCAGTAATTGGGACACTCCTGCCGTGGCCTTACAAATCCCAGCGTGCATCTCTCTGTCCCCCCAGGGGGCAGCCAGGGCTGCAGTCTGATTCCTCAGGACCAGTAAATGCAACAATGCAACGGGGGAGGGGTGATTAATCCTAGGGTGATTAGATTGGCCTGTTGCTAACCAGTCCTCAACCTGTAAAGTCACGCTGTAGACACATTGCTTGGGCATGAAGGCCCCAAGTATTTAGTAGAGGTGGGCCGATGGGAGCAGGAGGAATTTCTTAGCTCCCAAGTGGGACTTCTCCTAAGGCATCCTGGAGTTGGAGTTAGCTATGTATAATCACTATGTGTCTGAAGGTAGCTGGCCTGCTAAGTAGGATTGTGGTCTCTCATGATAGGTCCTTACCTCTTTTTTTTTTTTTTTTGAGATAGGGTCTCACTTTGTGATTCAGACTGGCCTTGAACTTGCTTATGTCCAACAGGTTGGCCTTGAACTCATGGCGATTCTCTTGCCTCAGCCTCCTGAGTTCTCGGATTACAGGCATGGGCCACCATGCCCAGCTTTTAAAAATATTTTTAATTTTTTTGGTATCAGAAATTGAACTCATAACCTTGCACTTGCCAAACAGGCACTGTACCTCTGAGCTAAATCCCTGGCACCCCGATACTCTATCAGATAGGGATTTTACTAGAACCTGTAGAGAGGTGTCATTGGTATTTTCAGAAAAAAATCAGATAGAGCGTGGTGTGTACAGGAGTTGAGGCTTGAGACCTGGACAGCTGAGGGGGCTGCGGTCCCTTCCCTGCTGGTCCCGACACTGATGATGGGGTGCGCGACTTCGCCAGCATTAAATCTCTGGGTGGAACACGAGATTTCCCTTCTCTTTACACTGAGCGTCCGGGAGCTGTTTAAGAGTGTGCTGGAACTTAGCCTGTGAGATGACACCTTTCCGCAAGGCATCTGTTCCTCCAGCGAGGAGAAAATCACTAGTGAGACGAGAGCGTCCACACAGCGAGGCCTGGAGTCTGGGGTGTGTTTCTTCCCCTGATAAGGGCTCTGTAAGGGTGGATCTAACAAAGGCTCCTGGCTGCGTGAGTGCCTGTGGAGAATCACCTGTTCCAAGGTCATAAATTGGGCCACTGTAGGTGGGGTTTCCCAGGCCATTTTTTTTTTTTTTTTTGTGACTTTTTTTTTTTTGTCTTTTTCCTTTTTATTGGTACCGGGGATTGAACTCACGACGACCTGCTTGCAGGGCAGCCGCTTATGCCGCTGAGCTAAACCTCCAGCCCTTTCCCAGGCCATTTTGTGAAAGTGTCTCTTTAGGGTCTCATTCATTGTTTTGACCTTTCCTGTTGACTGTGGTCTCCACATGCTGCAAGTTGATAGACAATGCCAGGTACCCATGGGATGGACACTCCATGTGACTGTCATGACTGTCACTTTAAAAGAAGGCTCAGCACTGGGAACTGTGGTGCACACCTGTAATGCCAGCACTTGGGAGGCTGAGGCAGGAGGCTGAGGCTGTGAGCTCAAGGGCAGCCTGAACTGCATAGTGAGATCCTGTCTCAAAAAAAGAAAAAAAAAAAAAAAAAAAAAAGGCCCAGTACATTAGTGTTTGTCAAATGAAATCCAAATCTGAGGATGATTTCTGAGATCAAAACTTTCACTACCTCTCACATTTTTTTCTGTTCTAGAACGGAAGGGCTCAATACAATTAGTGAAAATACCTATGCAGACCAGTGGGCACTGGACTCCCTTCCTTTTTGGCATATGGGTAGAATCAGGCTGCCGATCTTCTCCAGGCTGTTTACCATGTTCCTGCGTGCCTGGGGGCTGTGATGTGGTCAGGAGGATTGTTTTGGGGGGCAGACTTTGCATGTCTTAACTCTCTGTGGTATGGTTGGCCTGAGTCCCTTTCCTATGAGTGACTTTAAGGTCATTGGCTGGGTCTTGTCTCCCCACTGGGGAGGTCAGATGTCAAGGTTTAATGACTCTCCATCAATTAGCACCACAAAGGGACATAAAAGGACACTTTACCATCTTCAACTCAGCCCTGTTGGAAAGAAGTGGCACCCATGGGAGAGAGCCCGGTCCTTTTTTTTTTTTTTTGTCTTTTTGAGACAGGGTCTCACTTTGAAATTCAGGCTGGCCTTGGGCTCACTTTGTAGCCCAGGCTGATCTTAAACTCCAAATGATCCTCCTGCCTCAGCCTCCCGAGTGCAGGGATGACAGGCATGGGCCATCATGCCCTGCTTGCCCGTTCCATTTCTGGCTGAGACTATTTGGGTGGATTGTGATCAAGGGTCCCTTCCTAAATCAGGGAGGCCTGGGGCAGGGGCAGGGGTTGTGGTGGCCTTGAGTGGCTTCTTTTGCAGCTGTGCCAGCCAGCTGGTTACCTTGGGACACCTCGTCAGCTCCTTTTTGGTGCCCTCTACAGAAGTTATCGCCACCTTGGAGGGCAGATAGATGGATGAGGAAAGTTATCTCTCTCCTCATGATGCTCTGTGGGAGACCGATGGACTTTAGCCGGTTCCTCTCTAGCCATGAAGTTGCAAGGGCAGGCGAGCAGTGCAAGCCAAGCAGACCGAATCAGCAGAGGCTGACTCCATCCTTTACTAAGGTGTCTAGCAAGGCCAAGAGCTCTGCCAGCGGGCACCAGTGCCAGGGCCAGTGAGGAGCTTTGGCGTGTGATGTAGGGTGTGTCTAACAAAGCCCCTGGCCGAGTGCCTGTGCAGGGTCGCTGTTCACAGCCAGGTCTTTTGGCCTCAGTTTCCTCCTTTTCTGGTAGAAAGGAGGCAGGGTTCAAGAAACAGCGGTTTTTATGGGACTGGCTGGCCCATCAAAGCGGAGCGTGTCATTTAAGAAGCTGTTAGTGTGATAGCCATTAGCTCCCTGTGGAGGAAAGAAGTCCCACTGCATGTTGAGGGGCATACCCACGAGACTGTCACCTAAGGTCAGCCTGGGCGCGCTGTGAGCTGTTGGGCAGGTCCCTGGTCCTGTGGAAGCGCTC